TCTCCAGGGTGGTAGAAGAGTGAGACTACCGAACGCGGGTGGCGGGAGAGATAGAGCCGCCGCCGTGTGGGTGCCGTGCCCCCTCTTGTGTGAGTTTACACACTATCCACTGTACTATAGCTCCATCCTGAGTCAGTTGGTTTTAAAGTGAAAAGAAACCTGCTGTTTTGGAGAGAATGGGAGGCAGCAGTGAGTTCTCTTGGGCAAGCTAAGTACACTGGAAACCAACCTCCAACACACTCCCAACATATAATGATGAGAAAGTAATAAGAAAGATAGTTCAATCTGGGGTTTCTGTCTAAAAGTTTGCCATGTTAATTCAATAATAATTATGTCATTTCTAGAAAGTGAAAAACTCCATTTTCTGGGAACCTTTTGCTATACCACCATTAATAACTGAAATAGAAAACTCTGTAGCAAAGACTTAAAGAAGGTACCATTACCTTTGAGACTGGGTGGTTGTGGAGGCTGGAATATCCTACTGTTACTCAAGGTTGGAACAACATTAAAAATATGCTTTTGAAACCTTGAGTAAGTAAATATGTAATGTCTGACAACCCTAATAGCTGCTGTAAAGTGGAAGATAGAAAATATGACTATTAGATTTATGAGTTTCTTGTGAGATGACTCAAGAGGATTATTAAGTTTAGTCACATATATAATAGCATTCATTACATTACATGCTGGAGGGATAGCACAGCAGGTAGGGCGTTTTGCCTTGCATGTGGCCAACTGGGTTTGATTCCTCCATCCCTCTCGAAGAGCCTGGCAAGCTACCGAGAGCATCCCGCCCGCACTGTAGAGCCTGGCATGCTCCCCATAGTGTATCCAATATGCCAAAAACAGTAACAAGTCTCACAATGGAGACATTACTGGTGCCCGCTCAAACAAATCCATGAGCAACGGGAGGACAGTGACAGTGACAATGACATTACATTCATTAAAATATACATTCATTCACTACATATACATTCATTACATACATACATTACATTACATTCATTATAATATACAATTACATTTGACAAAGAGATGAATTAAAGAGAGAACTGTTTTTTTTCACGCAGAATTTATCAAAAATGTAAAGAAAACAAGAGTCAATTTGGAAAAATATTTTTATTATCATTATTGTGGGAATATAGATTACAACATGTTAATATATGTGCTTCAAGTGTACAATGTTACTCCATGGCACTCACAGCCAAAGGGCTAATATCCGTCCACCACTGTCACTAGTTCCCATCTTATTCCCTACATCAGCTCTAATATACAAAGTCTATGTTTCATTGGCCAGGATGTTTGTGGGTTTGTGTAGGAGTGTGTAGCATTGAGTGAAACTGGGATGGTGGTGGGTGTTTTCTATTTGTTTGCTTAAATAAAGTAGATTTCCACTGGACTCCTGGGGAAGCTTTGATTCTATACCTTAGCTTTGTTTCTATCCGATCTATGACCATGTGCTATTTGCTTTTCTTTTTCTGACTTATTTTGCTTCAACACATTACTATCTCTTTCTATGTGACAAAAGCAATATAAAAGATTTTACTATTTTTCTTATGTCTAAGTAATATTCCATGATGTATGTGAACCACAATATCTTTTCTTTAGGGGCCTTGTGACTACACCTTGCAATATTGAGGGCTTACTTCTGGCACTGAGCTTAGGGATCACTTCTGGTAGTGCTTGAAGGCACCAGGGACCAAGAACAGATCAGCCATGTTCCCTGTCCACTGCACTATTTTTATGGCTCTGAGGGCAATTTCCTTATTCAGTCATCTACTCATTGTTAGGTATGGGAGTTTTTGTTTGTTTTACAGATCCTGGCAATAAATAGTTCTCAAGAAATGACTTGGGTGTAAAGATGAAATCAAAAGTGTGGCTGTGAGTTCCTTGTTTGAATTTCTGAAATACCAAGGTTGATGTGGGCCTCATGTTTCCACACACCTAGATACAAAGGCTCTAAACATGTATAGAATGAAGTCCCAGAGCAACTCAAGTCACATTTCAAAGGAGAGAAAGACCCATGTGCAAATTAGCTATCTGTAGCTATGACATTTTTCTAATATAGTGGCTTACAATTAGATACTCAGGAAGCTTGGTTATGCTTTTGATTGTATCATTTTAGGCCTTAAAAGAACATAAGTAATTTTAAATAGTAGAGGTCTGGAGCTTCAAAATTCTACTGGCAGGAAGCTAAGAAAATGCATGTTATCTTCTTTAGTGTGGTATGATACAGTTGCTGAAAATCAAAGTGTTTTAGACCAATATTACCTGAACTGTCCTAAACTGAATTGTCCTCCCATCGTTCATCCATTTGCTCGAGCAGGCCCAGTAACATCTCCATTGTGAGACTTGTTGTTACTGTGTTTGGCATATCGAATACGTCACGGGTAGCTTGCCAGGCTTTGCCATGCGGGCAAGATACTCTAGGTAGTTTGCTGGGCTCTCTGAGAGGGGCGGAGAAATCAAACCTGGCTTGGCCACGCTGGCTGCACGCAAGGCAAACGCCCTACCGCGGTGCTATCGCTGATAGCACCGTGGTAGGGCGTTTGCCTTGCACACAGCCAACATGGCCGACCCGAGTTCAATTCCTCCACCCCTCTTGGAGAGCCCGGCAAGCTACTGAGAGTATCTCGCCCGCAGGGCAAAGCCTGGCAAGTTACCTGTGATGTATTTGATATGCCAAACACAGTAACAAGTCTCACAATGTTACTGGGCCTGCTCGAGCAAATCGATGAACAACGGGAGGACAGTGACAGTGATTAATATTACCTAACTGAAAGAAAAAGAAAGACAGTTTAAAAAAATTAAGGACTTATGGAAAATCTTATAAAAACAGAGAGGACACAGTGGATGAAAAATAAAGAATTTATTAGGACTAGGAAAGTGTTACATAAGAGCTGAACTTGATCCTAGTGTAGAAATGTTCCTTTTTCCTCCCTGTAAGTTGGAAAGCTAGTGACATGTGCTTGACTGGACTTAAGCATTGTTATGGTCTCACAACTCATATGTGTTTTTCATTTTCCTCCTCTAAGATGTAATAAATATAATAGGAATATCTATTATAGTGATATTATCCCTGACTCATCATTTTATTTTGGGACTGTGTTTAAGTCACCTAAAGTAGACATGAATAGACTCACCTGGACCCAGACCTATGCAAAACAGCAATTCTGGACTTAGAGCCTTCAGATTTTGTATGGAGAAGAGACGTAGACAGCAGCACCAAAGATAACTATGGTATACCATTTCCAAGGCTAACAATTTTCATTTCCATATGGATACTACTGCTCCCATTTTAGACTGTGACTTGCTTTTGGCTAATAGGTTAACAGCAACTTTCTGGAATTCCAGAGCTCAATGTCTTAGGAAGCCTCATAGTTTCTGCTTTTGTTCCTTTAAGGTAAAACCACCATGGAAACAATTTGAACTGCTTCACTTAATAAGACAAAGCAGTGCAGTAAAGTCGCTTAAGGTTAACATGAGGTTAGATGTGAGAGGAGAGTCTGTCTCAGGTAAGTCACCTCGGCAAACATAGTGTTGATTAGAGTTGTGTTCTTTCTGTCAAACTCTAACCAGGATAGTGCATAAATAAATAATTATTATTTTTAAGCCACTAAGTTTTAGTATAATATATGTAACAACAAATATCTACAACACCTTGTTGACACAGTAGAGGCAGAAAGATGAAGAACATAATTTAAAATGTGTTCAGTATCTCTAACAATTTATAATTTACAATATGGTCAGTATCTCTAACATACGTCCAAATTAGCAGAAATAGTTTTCTTTATTTGTACTTTCTGGTATTACATAATCCAAGCCTAAAATTTTTGGATATATAAACTTTGTAATATAAATTCATGAATGTATCATTATCTACAAATTTCCTTACTATTGCTAGGCAGTCATAATAAACATGTTTTAGTATTCCTAATAATGCTGCTATAAAGACCCTTGTTTCTGTGTTAAAAATGTATTTACATTGGTTTTGTTATCACTGGGGTTTGTCTTCATCTATTTTCTGATCTCCTTTGACTTGAAATCTATATTTAGTAATAGTTTTAAAGCACTAATGTGGCAATGATTATAGGCGTAATGTCAACATGTTCTGTTGAAAAGACAAAATTAATTTTTCTTAACCCATACAGAGAATTTATGTGTCAGTGATCTTCAATAGCCTGGATAGCTCATTCTACAGTATCAATGTTCTCATCAATATAAGGGGAAAAAATATAACAGAAAAAATTGGAATGCTTTTCTTACCTACAGGACATTTCATTCAGAAACCATTTGAACCATTTAGTCAATTTTCTAGGTGTTAGATTGTAATTAGAACATTCTTTCCCCATTAACTCAAATATGACAGTTAAGAATATACAACTTTATGTGGTCAGAGAGTAAATACCCTAATTCTATCCCTGATCACATATGTCCCCCAAGCACTGCCTAGGAATGACCCTTGGAGCACAGAGCCATGAGTAAGCCCTGAACACTGCTGGGTGTGACACCAAAACCAAATATTAGTTATAACAGTAATATGCAATGTACTTTGAAGATTAACTTCACTATTAAAAATAAGTTGGTTGGCTGTCTCTCTTAGAGGCAAATTATGCTACTAGTTAGCCAAATGAATACCTCTATAAACAAATATGGAATTATAACTATAAATATGCAGGTTGTGCAAAGCAAAATTCTTTGTGTTCCATCAAACAGAGACCACAGTGTGAATGTTACCCTTTGAAGTTGTCCTATATAGCAAAGCTGCATGCAGTCTCTTGCACCCAAAAATTAATCATGATTGTGCACTTGAAAGCTGGTTATTCTAGTTGGAGTGAATTAAATGATGTAATTAACAAAGGCACATACACATAATGATGTGCATATACTATGGGTGAAGGTAGCCTGAAAAATGCGCTTCAGCTTGTAAAGTGAGGACAAGAATATTAAGCAATATAAAATGCACATAAGTAAAATCATCACAAAGAGAGGATGCAGCTTACCTGACATGCTGATGGATGACTGTGGTTGAGATCCCAATGGGAAGACACTATGTCAACAGACTTTTTGGCCATGCTGAGTAAATTCATCCAGCCTTGGAAAAGTGGTAAGTGAAATGGTGCATTTTCTGAATAGTTAAGGCCTTCAGGAATATTTTCAACCAGGGCAACTCTTAGAAAAAATTTTGAAAAAAAAACAGAACCAAAATCTAGTCAAATTTGAAGCCACAGATACATGCACACAGACATATGAAAAATATTCTAAATTATTTCTGAATCTATATATTTCTCATATGTTATTTCTCCAACAGTCTCTTACATTTTCTTAATTTAACGTCTTCTAAGAATTCATGCCCTGTTCTTTTTTTCCCCCCCCCCCACAATTAGCCTTATAGTTCAGAAAATGTGTCCCTCACACAGTTTCAAACTAGTACTGGGAAAAAAATTTAAACTTTCTTCACAAATAGTTTCTTTTAGTAATATATTTCTCTAGCATCCACTTGGGAACAGTGTAATTATTTTATTGTTAATTTATTGTTTTTGAGTGCAGGGCTCAAATTCAGGGCCTCACACCAGCAAGGTATGTACTCCAGTACTGAATAACATCCAATCTCTGTCCTCCACTCCATATCTCTGTGAACTGGTGAGACTATAATTTTTGCATACTTTCAGAATCCAGTACACTGTTGGATATAATATTAAAACTTCATAAATGGCATTATTATTGTTTAATATTATCCCTAGTCTAGACATAAAGTAGTATTAAGGGGAAAGAAACCTTCTTACTGCAGGACTTTATGAGTCAAAAGTAAGAAATCAAGAAAATAATAGTGATAACAGAGTCTCAGTAGACTAAAAGTTATATCTTAATAAATGTGTATGCTTTTTCTATGATTCACATATAACACATGTGATGTGTTTGCTTGATTTTCCTTGGTGTTGTAATTGAGGTTGCTCTGTTTGATTTCTGAATATTCTGGTGACACATAACCATTTTTAATGAATCACCATGAGATACAGTTATAGATTTACAAACTTTCATGATTATGTTTCAGTCATATAATGATTGAATACCTATCCCTCCAACAGTGCCAATTCTCCACCAACAATGTTCCTAGGATCCCTCATGCCATCCCCATCCTATCTGCCTCCCACCACACCGCTTGCCTCTGTGGCAGGCACATTCCCTTTTACCCGCTCTCTTCTTTGGAGTGTTATGGTTTGCAATACAGATACTAAGTGGCCATCATGTTTGGTCCATAGTCTACTTTCATCACACATCTCCTATCTGGAGCAAACCCTCCAAGCATCATTTGTGGAATCTAGAGTAACATGATGGGAAACTAATACTCAAGGATAGTAGAGATAAAGAAGAGGAGGAAACATAACTTTTTAATAAAGGTATGAACAAGTTTGGGAGAGAGCTAAAAATATTGGAGCACATGGTTAATATGCTGTAGCCCCAGCTTTGTTTACTAGCACCACATGATCCCTTAAGAAGTGAGACAGAAGTTGCCCTTGAGTACCTATGTACTGCAGAGTATGATCCTAAAACAAACTAAACATATATATATATATATATATATATATATATATATATATATTGCTTTTTGGGTCATACCCAGCTATGCACAGGGGTTACTCCGGGCTTTGCACTCAGGAATTACTCCTAGTGGTGCTCAGAGAGTCTTGTGGAATTTATATGGGTTGCTGGGAATTGAACCTCGGTCAGTTGCATGCAAGCAAATACCCTACCCACTGTGCTATCACTTTAGACCCCACTAAACAAATATTTTAAAAATTTTGATAAATGGATAAACATTATTTTTCAGTTTAGGAAATTTAAATACTTTTGCAACTCTTAAAGGAAAACACAAAATCCTTTTTTCTCTTTTCTGATCATTTAAAAATATTTTTAAGTTTAGACACCATGATTTACAATACTTAATGACAAGTTCCCATACACAAAATATTCTAAATAACATTTTCTACCAGAGTGTTACTCACTTCAAACTCTTTTGAAGATATCTTGAAGTATTTCTAGAACAGAGATATTTTTTGCCATGTACTCGAGTTCTAGGTATATAATCATGACTTAAGAATTATGTAAAATTCTTTTTAACTACATAAATTTTTGGTTTCTAATACATAATCCAAATATTTTAATGCAATGTAGATGAGATTTTATTTAGGCAGCATTATAAATAGAATATCACTACTTAAATACTATAAGGTTCACTTGATGAATCTAGAAAATTAGTCAGTATGAGTCTAGGATATATGTCTCAGAGATATTTTTGGTGAGCCAATCACATTACCACTACTTTCTTTATCTACGAAAGTTTTTAACATTGGTTGAACTCTATGAGCCATGTCACGCAAAAAATTATGTACTGCACAGAAGTGACCATGATAATTGTTCCTAGTCCTGTGGAATTTCTTCATGTATGTATGTATGTATGTATGTATTGTTTTTAACAGTTTTCACAGTTTACTTACAAATAGAACTGAACAATACAATGTATCTACACCCAAAGATTTGGCCACAAACTGGGTATTGCACCAGACAATTGCCTAGCACTCAAGGGACCAGAAGCACCTTCCTGATAACACCAGCTTGCTTTGTTTTATGGAGGAAGGAGAAGTTTAGGGTGTGTGTGTGGGGGGGGAGGGGAGCAGGGGGTGGGGCAAATGGCTGGAACTGCAGGACCCCAATCTACAAGTTGCACCAATGGATGTCTAGCACAGAGAGTCTTGTGGAATTTATAATTAGAGAGCTTGTTTCACACCTAAATTATTTCGAAGGAAGTAAATTCAAGGAAATGACAAAACACGTATAAGAAGATTAATTAGACAATGCATCATCTAAGTACTATTATAGCATAAATTATGAAGAAAGATAAATATACTTGAGGGAAACTGGAATTAGAAGAAACAGGATCTGAGTGAATCATCAAATACAGAATTTTATGGGTATTTAAAAGAGAAAAATATTTTACGTAGAGGGAGATGCTTGTAAGAAACCACGTATTTGTGAATTAGTGAGTCACAAGATCTATAAGGTATCTGAATTATGGCAGTTTCTAATATTTTTTCACTGTGAACAAGGAAGAGAAGTAAAAACGTAATTTTGATGTATTTGGGAATAACCATATATATTTTAGGTGTCAACTCTGACAGCGTTCTTGTGTGCTACTAGAATGAAAGAGATAAGCAAAAGACAAATCAGATGAGAAGTAATTACAATAAATTAGAAAAGAAAAACATGAAATTTTAGTTAGGTTAACAGAAATATAATGATGCACGATTTTAATGAAAATATTAGAAAAAAAGAAATATTTAGTGCTTGGTGATTATGAGGAAATATGTAAAAGAGAAATTTATGGAAATCAACAATGGCAGATTTTCTTGCAGGGCAATACATTCCTTTAACTAGAATAATATAATCACCTTCAAATGTCTCATTCAATTAATTCTTTCTCCTCTCCAAACCATTTTACATGCTACAATTAGAGTAAAAAACCATAAATATAAACACTTGATGTCTGATCAAAATGTCCTAAGGAATCTTCATTATCCTTAGAACATACAGCATGGATAACAAGTGTTTACTCCCCTTTTATTATACTTGTAGGATAACACTGATCTGTCCTTCTTGCTTAGCCTCAGGTAGTTTAGGTTTATTGGGCTGCTCTCATCACAGTGTTCCCCTTCCTCTGTGTTTACTTGTAACTTCTTTCTTTGTGCTCTGTTGACTTGCAAATATTGTTTTTCTTTTCTCTCTAAGTCCTTTGCATAGTTTATTCAGAGCAAGGTCCTTTTTGTATGAACACAAGAAGATATGCTTTTGTAATGTAACTCTCAGTGAGATTTCCCTCCTGGGCATCTGTTCTCTCACCTAAAACTCAGCTGCCTTTACTTCCTAGCGCCCCCAAAAGCAGGATCCTGACAAGAGACTGGATGGAACCAGGGCAAGCGGTAAGCTATGTGCTACCCTGACATCAAGATGGGCCTGGCCAAAGTGCCGTAATGCTTAACTAAAAGTTAAGAGCTTGGTCACGGACAAATGCTGTCAAGATCCAAAAAGTAATAAGTAGATTTGGACCCTGCTAGGGTTAGGAATGATTAATCTGACCTGAGCACTGTAGTCTGAGTCTGTGGCAAGATGTTTCCAGGAGAGCTGCCCTACAAGCCTCAATGTTATCTCTTACTGTGTCCATAGTTATTGGACTGAAGAAAAGAGAAAAACACCTTAGGAGGTATTTTGCCCTTGGGCAGTCAGGAAGGGCTTTGGAATGTCTTTTAGGTGGTGTTCTCTTTGAACTTGGTGGGCCCTCAGGAAGGGCTTTCTTATGTTGATTTGGCTACCTGACAGGGGCAATGTCAGGCTGGAGAGATAAGGGAGTGGGAGAGAGAAGCCTGGGGGAGACATGAGTGAATGAAGAGAGGATTGGAATAAACTGCAACTAAGACCAACCAGCCTGGCTCTTGCTTCTTCCTTCATCTGCCCTTGGCTAACAGCCATCCCAATCCAGGCCACACACAGTAGCTCAAGAGCACTGAACGTGGGCGGTGAGACAGCCATCCAGAGAGCCCGTGAACAAACATCCTTCAGCTTGTTTAGTTTTTTTACAATACTCATCCCTTAACAAATTACTTGTTTGACATTAAAATACTTAGAGATTGTTTGGGCAAAATGGGTTGAAGTCCAACAAAACTGTCAAAAACACAAAATGGAAATAAACTGGTATTCAAGGAGTGCCAACCAGAGTAACTCAGAACAAAACCACACCATGATATTTTGTAATCAAAATGGCAAGAATCAAAGACAGAGACAGACTCTTTACAGTTATAAGACAGGAACAAAATCTCACTTAAAAGAGACAACATATCACATACACAGTAGGTAACTCAAGAAAAACTCTAGAGACTAGGGCAACTTGGAGGGGTCAGATTGAGTTTCCCTCCCCATCCCAACAGAGCCCCAGCAGTCGAAAACCTCCAGAACCTAACCAAGGCCATGCTCACAGCTGTTCTCCACAGGTGAGTCAATCTGAAGAAAGACCTAGGTATGTGGGATCCATGACTGAAATCTCTAAGCTTGCTCGGGAGCAGGAATGGGCCTCCACTACCCCCTCCCCCCACCATCTCCCAGGTTTACCAGCAACTTGT